ATTTTGCTCGGCAATAACGAGAAATATAATTATGTGAAGACTAATACCGAGTTTTTCTCGGTATTGCTCGATATTGGTCTTCATAGAACGATATTTTTCATTATTGCCAAGCAATAGCGAGCAATACCTAGAGCAATACGCGAACATAGCAATCCCGGGTCAAGTCGTTGGTCCGCGCGGTATTGAGTAAGACCACGTGATGACATGTTATTGGCGTCCGAACGTAGAGCTACGTCAGGTTACCAGACCTAATAATTGTTCCTATTAGACAGCCTGAAAATTTCTTGGTAAGAAGTTTTAATTCTCAATTGAAAAAAATAAAAAAATATTCCTAACGTTTTTCAAAAATTTTTAGTCCTATATCGATCTACTAATGTGATATAATAATAAAGAGAAGCTTTGTATGATTCTATCTGCTTTAAATATAGCTCATGTCAATATTTTTATTGATTTTTAAAACAGTTTTTTAATATAATTTTTTTAAATTAAAAATTTTCATATTAAAAGCTATTTTAAAAATTAAAAAAAAATCATCTCAAACAAACCCTAAGACTTTCAAAGCTGATTTTGACTGAGCTATATATATAGGTTTTTTACTCATGATTTACATGAGAAAATCTATTATCTAACCATATATTGATGTTATTATTCACTATGAAAAAGAGTTCTTGATTCTATTTTAACTTATATTTTTTGTTAGAATAGAAAAACCTATTAAAAATAATTTTGACAATAACGTTTAAATTTATAAAAAACTACATATGCACAAGTAGAATTGTAAGTGAGCCTAGCTCTGCTCGTTAACTTAGGTTTCATTTAGGACAGCTTTTTTATTTATTTTTAAAGCAACGTTCTAATATAATTTTTTTAATTAATTTTTTTTTAATCAAAAAATTGCTTCGTAAAGCAACAAGAAAGTTATCTCAAATGAAGCCTTAGTTTATTTTAGCTCGATAGCAACATTTCTTTGTTAGCTATTTGGATTTTCAAAATTATATTCGAATTAGTATACAATACAAGTTCTGGTTAAATTACAAATAATACCCACCTCTGCTTGTCCGAGTGGTGAAGAGCCGGCTGGGCAAAGCCCATGTCCCTGGTTCGAATCCCTTGGCAAGCAGTGAAAGCCTTAAGTGTTGGCCCGTGTAAATTGGTGTGGGTTGCATGCTAGGTCGGCCGGGGTTTTCACTGACCCAAGAACAGTGCTTCCTCGTCACACACACACAAAACATAAATTGATAGAGTGCTATTAAGCCTACTAAACAACTAAACTGTAAACGGTGCTGGAATTGCACTGTGTGAAATCCCTAATAAGAAAATAGGGAGTGGGTACCTATGGGTTGGCCCAAAAAAAAAAAGGGCTAATTTTTACAGTTAAATTCAATCATTTGAATGGAAATGAGATAGTAATAGGTCCGACATATACCATAATAGCTTAACTGTGTCTGTATAAAAGTTGGAAAACTTTGAATAGAGGATGTGAAAAATACATTAAATAGATGTTATTCAATGACTAAAAATTATTGTGTCCGAACAGGGTACCGAGCATACCGCGCAGTACCGACCGCGGTACCGAGCAGCTAGAAATGTGGCGTATTTTTATTGGTCTCTGGATGCGTTCGATGTCCGGACACAATAATTACTCTTTAATGACAAGCACAGGTGATAGTTAAGGAGGAATACGTGAGAAATATCTAAGAAATAGAAGAAATTAAAAAAATAAATAATAAAAAGATATCATCTCCCTCCTATGTTTCTCCTACCCTATTTTTTATTAAAAAAAAGATATGTGCGAAATATTTGGGAACATTTATTGTCATTACTAGTGTTAAAAAATTTAAGGTTTAGAAAACCTAAATTGACATGGGAAAAAAAAAAAAGAAATAGAACTTTATCTACCATTTTTCTTAGGGTTGTCAATTCGGGTCAACGGGTTGGGTTCGGGTCGAACCCGGAATTGAACAGGCACTATTCGGGTCAACCTGAACCCCACCTGTTTTTAAAAACGGGTCAAGTTTCCGGACCCTAACTAGACCCAATTCGGGTCCAGGTCAACCCGACCCGACTAAATGACCCGAAGTTGACCTAAAATTGCTAGTTTTCGGATAAAAAAGCGGGTCAATCTTCAACTTTCGGGTCAAAATCAGGTCAATCTCGAGTTTATTGAGTAAAATAGGAGTTTTTGTGTCAATTTCGAGTTGATGGGTCAACCCGAACCTGACCCAATTTTTAAAACGGTTTGATTTGTTGAACTTGAATCCGACCAATTTCGGATTCGGGTTGACCCTAACCCGGATTTTTTTTTTAGTCGGGTACGGGCCATGTTTCGGGTAATGTCAAAAATTGACACCTAATTTCTCTACATCTCCTTTTTCTCATCCAGTATTCTGCAAATCCTCTAAAATCACACATAATTGACCATGTAATTACTATAATCCAACCATCAATTTCATTTTAAAACTGGATTGGGTTAGTGTCAACTCATTTGCAGTCGAATGAAGTCAGGTTCGACCCGAATCCGACCCATTAACCCAAATTAACACACCATATGAGTGAATTTATCTTAATTAATCTAAAATCTAACTGTACAAAAAAAAAATCAGGTCACATTTATTATAATTTATGCCTCTCCATTCCCAAAAAAAAAAAAAACCATGTAATTCTTTACAATAAATATTAGATGAATTAAACTTTCAGTGTCACAAATAAAGCAGGTAACTGAGACAAGACATTTGGACGTACAATTGGCAATAATCTGCAAAGGATTCACAAGTCACATCTCTATTACACAATTATTAGTTGTAATACCCACAAGATAAACATTTGAGTAAACTACACAACCCGAACAGACTGTCCAAGATTTTAAGATTCTATATAAGTGGCATTTATGAGCTCATGTGACTCAGAATAATCAAAACAAATTGTTATGAATCTAAATTTATTTGAGATAACTTTATTCATAGTTTTTTTTTTTTGGGTGTAAACGTAGCAAACTATCGGCGGCATAGTCCAGCTCAGCTTTTATATATATATATATATATATATATATATATATATTTAGATAAATTAAAATAATTTCTCCAACCTACAAGCCAAGGTCAGCTGTGCGGCTCAGCTCACTAAAAACAATGTATTTTTCAAGCAGTTAAACTGCAAAAAACTAAAAGATCTTTAGTGGTGCATTAAAGGTGTCCAGTTATGTCCAAACTCTAATAAAAATATGACAAGTATTTTTGTACAAAGTATGTATAACTATACACGCTATATATATATATATATATAGTGTACAAATTTATATACATAATATATACACTGTGTATATAATTGTACAAATTTATTCACACTATATAATGAAATAAGTACGTAATAATTTTTCATAATAAGATGAGAGAGCACTGTCATTCTTATAAAAATCTACACGCTACGGAGAGAATCTTTGATTGAAGCAGACATGATCCTAGCTTCAGACCTACACATTCACAAAATTGTGAAGGCAAAATAGGATACGGGAGAGATATGAAGTCAATTTTGAGTGTCACATTGGCCATTCGAAGGCACAAGGTCAGAGGAAGACAGAAGGAAAAGGAAAAGAGAAAAGAGCTTTATATGATGGAGAGAGAAAATAGGCGGAGCAAAAGCAGGCGGCGCAGCGTCCAAGGAAAGTAACTGTTTCAGCAACAGCCGGTCTCACATCCAAGAAAGTAAATGCAAACAGAAAAACAAAAGAACGAGAAGATTATGGGGATCTCGGAAAAGAAAGCAGGTGAATTAAAGAATTTATCTGAGAAGGTTATATATATATATGAAAAGAGCCCGTGTTGCAGCTCACTTTGATCTTTTGTGTGAGACTTTTGACTATTTACTAAAAAGTCTTGAATTCAAAATTTTCATATGTGAAAGAGGATTGTTCTAAGGAGACCTTGAAGATCATAGCTGAGATTTCAATTCGGCTGTGCTGACTCGTGCAGAGATAGTGGCTAGTCAATTATTCTCGAGACCTCTACCACACCCTTCTCTACTACCATCACAACCAACCCTTTGAATGAGTAATGGTGAGAAATTGAAGCGATCCCGTGACACATTGGTACCAAGTGAGATTGTCAAAGGGTGTGGTAGAGGTTAAGTTAATAGAGGATTTGGTAGGGGAGCAACTGAGAAGAGGTTTGGAGAACTCCATACTTGATTTATGTGGAGCTTAAGTAGCATACTTTTCTTGACTGAGAAAAAGAACTTCACGTTTATGAAAGACTTGAGTAGCAAGGAAGAAAATGAAGAAGTCGAGTTGCTTCATACTAAAATTGAGTTCATATTCCAGATAAGGTCAAGTAGCAAGTAGCTATGGAGTGTTGCTGGCAATGAGGATGTCATCAACATAGAGGAGTAGAAGGATGCAGAGTTGGTTGTGATGGTAATAGAGAAGGGAGGGGTTCTCTATGCTTGATTTGAACCCTATTGTTGTAGTTGGCCAAAGAAGGTTTCTAATACGTCAAACAACAAAATTAAGAAGAATAAATACATGAACACAAATATAGGGGCTAATTGTTTACTACTTCAACTAATAACGGAAAATACAAATGATCTACACTATGCGAGAGGTAGATCGGCTCTTCCAAATATCCTAGTCACTGCTAGGAAACTATTAGACCGGTCCCTCCTGGACCGGCTCTAGCCTTTTGTAGGTGGAGCAATCCGCCTGTTTGAGGTAGAATAAAGACGCCTAGGATGATTGCCCTCTCCTTGGGATGGGGCCCTAGGGCAATTTGAATAGGAGAACGGGTCCGGCTAGGACAGAATGGTAGGAGGGCTGTTTGGGGATTTGGGAAATTATTTTATGTTTTTTTATAATTATTTTAAATTATTGCATACTTTTTTTTGTTAATGAAAAGAGAATTTATTCCAATAGAAGGTGGGAGATACAAACAAGTCCAACCACAAAACAAACAACACGACATATGAAGGCCAAAACAACCAAGAACATACAACATACATCAACAAGAACATTAATAAACCAGCCGGGCTCAGTTAAAGGTGGATCAAATGCAACGGCCCAAAACGTAGGCAAGGACCATCTAGAGGAGGAATAAACACCAAGCCACACAGATGAAGCCCACACTATCCGTTAGTGGTTGACAACAAGCCAAGCCGTCATGAATGAGAGCAGAAACCCGCCACATCATTGTCTAGGTCAAAAAAACACAAGAATCAACACAATCCACACTAGTAAATGTCAAACGAAAAACCAAACAACCAAAAGGGGAAACCAAAGCCCACACTAGCCTCAAGAAGCATGACCTAACTAGAAGAACAAGCATTATCTTTGGATTTCCTTCTCCGACACTTACCACCACTAATGGATATAGTTTTTTTCAACAGCATGACCCACCTGCAAACAGCATATTCATGAGAATCATCAAGCGTATCAACCAAAATACCCCCAACCCCATCCCCACTATTAGAGGAATCATTCAACCAATTAGAATGATCAATAGGGGAATCCAACAATTTATTAGCCACGTGCGCTTTTAATGCGTCGTTAGAAACTAGAGAGACCGACACATCCACGAATTGAACAGGCTCAGGCACATTCAAAGCTGAATCCAACACAGTTAAAGGAGAAGTTTCAGATGGACTACCCAACTCTGAAGATTCAACGGACAACACCTTATTAACATCACATTGGCCCACCAACACCTCCAACGGCTTAGCACCAGAGATAAAACCATTCTCAACAGCATTAGGTGACACAACTAGGGGCAATCCGCAAGAACATGAACCCCCACCAGAACATTTGCAGGAGGGTTAAAAGCATCCTCAGTTGCTACAGAATTCTCAGCAGAAACATCGGCAACACCTACAACCGGCACAACCAAAGGTTCCAATACATAAACAAGCCGATGAACATTAGCATCAACAACAGGTTACTTAGAAATTATTTCATCCGCCTTATTCACAACAACAGGTGCTTTAGCCAAATGGGGATGAAGGATATGACATTCAAATTTTGATTTCCCCAAAGACTTACAATGAAAACAATAAGCAGGAAATGCCTCCATAACCACCGATTGAATGCAACCCTAATTCTCCGGACCAACCCACACATTATCGGGAAAAGTTTTAGTAACATCTAGTTCAACTAAGACACAAGCAACCAAAGGCCTAGAGTCAGATGATGTAGCATGATCAATTTTAAGGGGAAGGCCAAACATAGAACCCAACCCATGAAGAATCCTCGGAGAAAATATATGGGGTCTCAGTTTGGGAAATGAGATCCAAATAGGAAGAATGGGGGATTCAATCTCAACATCAAATGAAGGAGACAACTTAAAAAAGCTTCATGAAGCAGTTGCTTACAAAATAGGAATAGTGAGAAACAAACGAAAGTAGACCAAATCATTCATCAGTTTGATCAACACATGCTTATGGTTTAGAATAGTGACGGAAAATTCACCATTAAGCTTGAGGTTGAAAAAAAATTTGCGAATAGCCTCAAGCAAAGGTCTAAGAGAAGGAAATTGTCGACCAAAGCGAACTCAAAAGGCGTCGCTAGTGCCAAAATTTCATCTTCCGAAATCCATAACGAGGGCATCCCGTGATGAGAAGAGATATTGAGGTCCGAGAAAGTTGAAGAAGAAGAGCTACCATATAAAGCATCACGAAAAGACTTAGAAAAGGATTTACCAGCCAAAAAATTAGGATCGACCAGCTGTTTGCCCTCCATCGACAAAAGACAACGACGACTAAACAAAACGACCCAAGAAAATACGGACAACACTAAAAAAATTGGCAAGAAACTTCTCTGTGGAGGGAGGAGCCGCCGGAGGCCACAGACAGGGCAGAGAAGGAAGCTCCTCGAGAGAAGGAAACCCTAACAGAGCACATAGCGGAGATGTCCCTTGAAGGCGTGAATTATTGCATGCTTTAAATATATTATTTTCCTAGGGTTAGGGTTAGGTGTTATTTGCTAAAACTGTATTGTTCTTAGGGTGTTTGGGCTCTAGCCGACGGCTAAAGATTTGGGAGAGCTAGATCTTCCTCTCCAATTGAAGATACATTGAATCTTGCTTATTATATCATTAATGAAAAAGATTTTTCTATGGTTATTCCTCTTAATTCTTCTTGTGCTTTGTGTTTGGGGCTGCTGAAATTAAATTTCAGCCAATGAATATTGGATTTCTACGAGCACTTCCTATCAAATTGGTATTAGAGTAGTGTCCTGAGAAAAAATTGAGGCATTTCCTTGCCAATTTCTGCCGTGTTTTCCCTTCTAAATGATCTTGTTTATGTAGGTCGGTTGAGTTCTGTGGATATAGATTTATGATGTACACTTTGTTCTTCTGATGACACTCACTACCAGCGACTTGCTTACCCTGCTTTGTTGGAAAACATATCATTTACCCTGTCAGTTTACCAATTTTGAAGATGAAGCTTGGCACTCATCTTCCAAGATGGCATTCCACAACTTCTATCTATTGCTGGGCAATTCATCCCTCCTATGTAACCGGGTCAGATGACAAGCTTCTTCTATTGGGGCGTCCCTGCCTGAATCCTAGTGGCTGCTCATTGGCCTGCTCCTTTTAAGTCCTACTTCATTTCTATTTTCTTCTTAAACTCTTGACCATAATGTATAAGTTGGTTTCCGCTTAAGGCACACTTATTTGCTTTTATTTCTACCAAAGATCAAGTAGCATACTATTTCATTGCTCAGTCGTCAAATCTGAATTTTTTGTGATATCACCACACAAGAGGATATGCTAAGAAAATTCTAATGTAATATGTGTGCGTGCGTGCGTGCTAGAATTTTGTGGAGGCGAGAGTGGGGAAAGAGAACTATCAGACCTAAATACTACAAGAATTGAGAACCGCCACTGACAAAAATGATCAACTTCATCTTGCTATCTTGGCACACAGTAAAGAGGTCTGTCTCCTTGAATACAAAAGAATTCATATATGAGGGTGATAGAATTTAGATGCAGTCACATTCTCAATTCACATAATACTCAAATATTACCCTCTGCAATCTTCATGCCCTGGTTATAATGAATTAGGCAGCTACCTCTCAGTGCTCTTCTATCTTCTTCAACTCCTTCATATTGGTGGTGTCTACCCTGCATAGAGAGAGAAATGAAATGGAAAATATCCATCGTTAACTAAAAAATTAAATTAAAATTCATCAATTGTTCACGATAAATAAGGGCAGTACAAAATATTTCTATAAGAGTCGATTAAGTTGTTTGAAATTGAATTTTTTTTTGATAAAAATCAGATAATTTAAATACATGTGTAAATCTCTCTTTAATTTTAATAAAAACGCAATTAGCATAAGTTCATCTAAACTCTCCTTTTTCAAACAACTTGCAATTGGAGACATAACAGTACTAAAAAATTATAAATTATCTGTAAAAAGTATTTGATCTAAAAAGTATTTGATCCATAAAAATTTTGAAAGCTGTATACAATCGTAAGTTTTGATCAATCATTAATCACTTTGACACTCTCATAATTAATAGTAAGTCCATGCCCAGACACAACAAAACTTTAGAAGATCACAGATGGAGTCACAGAGCAATATTTATTCGAATTCAGATATAACTTCGTAGCTAGTAAAAAATAAAATACTTTCCTAAGATGCATTAAATGATCATCATGAACATTTGTTATATAATAGAATATCATCAAAGTGAATAATAGAAAATTTTCAATTAAATGTTGCAAATCATGATTCATCATCCTCATAAAAGTAGTAACTGCATTAGTTACTCAAAAGGCATAACTACTTATCATATAATATAGCTTTAGCTTTAGTATTAAATAGCAATTTTTTACTCACACCACCCCGCTTCTCCCTCCACCCCCCCCCCCCCCCCCAAATTCAACTATGAATCACCCTGCAACTGAATTGTAAAACAATAACATCATTCATTACTAAAACAAGGTATAATATATATATATATATATTATAATCATTATATTACTATATATATATATATATATTTGATGGTTGATTTTACTGGTGACTTATTGGTCCTATTACAGAGGGCCTAATACCATCTTCCTTAATTATGAATCAAAGCAAATATAACACAAACCTCATGCTTCCCCAATAAATTCTTCTTGCAAAATTCGTTCAACTTATCTATTAAATTCAATATGTTAAGGCTATTCATCCTATAAATGAGACAATTTAAGCAATAATTATCCAGGAACTGATCAATAATATATATATATCACTAATGACAAAAATCATTAGAACAATATGCTGAAAATCACTAATTACTTCATTACATCATAAGGCAAAGCCACAAACTCAAGTACCACATATGCAATTCCTCAACAACTATGGCATAAGCCTACACTTTCTCAAATGCATATTCATCCAATATAGAAATACTTTTTTATCTTCATTATAGAACATTAGATTCTTGTACTTTTTCTTTAACTTGTAAGGTTTCAAAACTACCCTTCCTCACATTAACCAATAATCAAAGCACTTAGATGTTCCACAAATGAGTAAATTAAATCATGACAAACAATATTTAACTAAAATATATGGCAAATACCATGGCAGTAGTACATAAATGAGATTCTAGTGTTTTCAAGTAGCCAACTAAGTTTATAATATAGACATTTGAAGGTACGTCAAATTAACCTAAACTACCCTTTATATTAATCTGCAGATGCGGTTGCAGGTTTCACTTCCTATAGTATAATAGTGGCAAGACATAGCACAATATTTCAGCAACTTCTTCGTTTATTACTATGATTTATACAGTTTCTCGTGTTTTAAAATAGATTTAAAAGAAGCAATTCTCTTTCATTAAATTCAACCTTAGAAATAGCTACAACGCTCGATAATGACGTCAAGATAATTATAATTAAATAACATCAAATCACATGTTCCTCATCAAAATTAAAAAATCTTCAAAAAATTGATCTCAACATTTCTCTTTATATTTATAATAAACAATTCAAAACTAAGGAGATCGCTACCATGCTAACCAATTTAAAAAAAATTTAAAACACGCCTTCGCAGAAAATTTAGATCCCAAATACAAGAAATACGTAGATTTCCACATAGTTCCATCATTAAATTAGTATACCTACCCTTAGATGAGTAGTTTATGTTTCAGCTGGATCCAGCCGTCCACGCGGTGATCCGGCCAGACGTGCGCAGCGAAGTTTTGGCCTGGACGGAGGCCGCGCGAGCCGCCCCGCCTTGTGGAGCGTTTTAGAAAGAAATTTTTGGGAAGATTGGAGGGAATATTGAATGCATGGCTGTTTAGGGGGGTTCTTTTGATTTGTATGATTAAATAGTTGATTCTCCTAGGTGATCTCTTTGAATTTGGCTGTCAAAATTTTGAGATCTCTTAAATTTAGGTTTTCTTTTGGGCTCTAGCGGCGTCTAGAGATTTGGAGATGATCGATCCCAAAAATGAGGATCAATTGTATCTTGCTATTCTATTCACGCGTCTAGTCGGAATACAAGCTTTTTGAAATTTTCCGGGAGCTTTGCTCCATAAGTGAGTTACGCTGAAGATCCCTGGGAAGAATGATGGCCGGAAAATAGGTTGGAACTTTTGGAGGCGAATTGAGCAGTGTAAAAGTCAAACTGAGGGAAAGTTTTTTTTCTATTTTCAAAATTCAAATCACCTCCAGACAATGGAAAGATTTGAAGGAAAGTTCAACGTTAATGGGAAGAAATGAGAAGAAATACTTGAAATGAAGACCTAATCCGCGAATCGAAATAAGAGAGACCAACGACAGCCGATGCATGGGAGGACAATCTGAACCCGTGTGCGGGAGGAGGAATTCGCAGAGTGAGAATCCTGAAGGAGAGAACACATGCCTCCCTCTGAGCCGAGCTTTCTAGAGAAGAGATGAGTAGGGGACACGACAATAGGGAGGCAGATTTGTCGGAAGAAGGGAAGAATTTCTCGCCGATGTGCTAAATTTGAGAGAATCAGCGTCAAGGTGCTGCGTTTGAAGGGTGTAAGAGATGGAATTCATCGCCGAGCGGCTGAATTCGAAAGAATTCAGCGTCGAGGGGCTATAATTTTGAAGGAAGAAGGGAGGAACTTCATTGTCGATCGTGCTGACTTTGACGGAATTCACGTCGGGGTGGATGATTTGAAGAAAAAGGGAGAGTATGAAGAGGGTTCGCAGTATACATTGTTGGAGGGAAGATGGACAGTTGTGGAGACACCTCATCTTCAGGAAGGTGAGGCATGGAGGATTCAAAAAAACAGAGGAGACCACGGGTGTAGGAAGCTGAAATGCCGTCTTTGAAGGGGGAAGACGGTCATGCTGGATCTACCAAGGTCGGAGCGTTACTTCGTTCACGGGTTGACAGGAGGAAGAAAAGCTGACGTGTGGCGGGATTGTTGTTTTTGGAAGGAAAAGCTTGGACTGGTATCAGTGGCGTGACAGGGGAGCGCTATCCGGACTGGACGAGACATTCAAAGATTTGCTTATTTAGAGCGTTTTCTGAGCGATGGGCCGGAGGAGACTTCTAGAGCAATTCTTTTTGCCTTGACCTCAAGAAGACTGTGGCAGACACCGGATAAGTCGAGGTACTTGGCTAGTAGATTGGATCACATTTCAGAGTCATCCCTGGAAGGGAACTTTATGAAGGGGCTAAACCGGAATACAAACAACTAGTCAGGGTGTTGGAGCCGAGGAACCTAAGGAAAGGGCGGACGGACTGGCACAGTTGGTGGAAGATCAGAAGAAATCAGCAAAGAGGATCTCGAGGGAACTATTCAGGGGGAATCATGCAAGATGACTACCAACATTTTACCAATCACAGAGGGCGGCGCAGTGAGTCTGAAGGATAGCGCCAAGTGGAGAAAATTGGAGGGGAAAATGAGGACAGATTTAAAAGCTTGACAGAGAAAGAAATGAACAGAACAGAGGGCAATGGTTGTGGCTTCAGATGTTAGTTGAGTAAGTGCATGCCCGGGGCAAAGGTGCAAGGACCGAACTCGTTCAGGTTCCTCCTTGTCTTGTGAAGATGAGGAAATGCAAGGAGGGAGGTGGGATAGAGTCTAAGAGGAGGAGAGAAGCTGCACCTGGAGTGGCAGATGAGTCTTCCTGAATCGTGGTGGTGATTCTCTCCGAGTCACCCACTATGAAAGTGAAAGGAGAGATAGCTGTACCCGTGAGGTGGTGGTGCCAAATTGATTATGGCTACCCCACAATTTCAATTTCACTCCAGCGTCCGCAACCGAACTGGGAGTGCAAATTGGTGGACACCGGTTGTTTATGGGTGTGATATGGGTACCAGGGAAGCCGTGAGAAAGGCCAGAGAATTTGTAAAGAGTGGTGTTGATCATCCAGGGATTCAAGTAAGGGAAGGACTTTTCTCTCACAGAGTTAGAAGCTTGAGTCATCCTGGGGATGAAGTGGTTGCAAACCTTGGGGGAAAACCAAGGACAATTGGGGACACTCAGATGGAATTAATGTATGGGATGGGAGAAGGGTGTCATAAGGGGAGTGATGCAGGCTATCCAAAGCATCACATCTAAACTTAAGACCAGAGTTTCAGAGACGTATAAGAGGTGGGGAAGATTATCTGTGGACTACACAGGTGAATGCGATCAGATTGGAAGAGGGAGGTGATGTTCTCTTCAGTGCAGCCCCTTGATCAGGCCAATACAGTAGGATTTTCAGTCCCTCTCAAGGATGGCACGCTCCACTGGAACACGAGCATATTCCACCTTGAGGACAAGGTGGATTTTTTCCGGGAGGAGTATTGTTAGACCAGTACTAATGGAACCAGTCACAGCGGGACGCCCAGATGCACGCAGCGGATGTTTTCCGCCCTGGCGGAGGAACGTGTGAGCCGCTCGCCTTGCGGGAGCGTTTTAGAATAAATTTTGAGGAAGATTAGGAGGGAATTTGACAATGTAGGTGACTGTTTAGTGATTTCCTTTGATTGTGATGCATTAATAGTGATTTTCCAAGGTTTGATTCATCTGAATTTGGCTGAAATTTGAGAATCTCTAGATTAGAGTTTCCTTGTGGCCTAGCGCGTCTAGAGATTTGGAGAGATCCGATCCTCCTCTCGATTGAGGAATCAATGTATATTGCTATTTTATTCATCGTCTAG